AAAAATCCTTATTCAAAAGCTCTTGATAGCTTCTACTCCTGCTCATTACTTGTGCAGACAGCATAAGTATTTGAGACAGCCTTTCTAGTGCAGCATGGTCGAAAGTATGTGGTGTCTGCCCAGCAGATGGAGACAAAAATATACAACAGTTTGTATAAGTCGAATTTTGCTCTTGGCGAAAAGTTTAAGACACCTGACAATCTAAAGCATAGGCACTTTATGTCATTATAAATCGTTGAAACATAATAGCCAACTTCAAGGGTTGACTTCCGGAAGGGACAAAGAGGGTTTGATTGGGCAGATGATGTCGTAAGGGCACATACCAAGGCTACATTCCAGCAGCCTTGCCAAGTGAATGGAGGCAAAGACAATCCAGACAGGGCCAATTTTAGTTGGGCTCAAATTTGCGCTCCAGACGCGCATAATCTGGCGCAGGACAGAAAATGAAGCACTTCCGGTGTCTAACTTCACATTTTTCACCTACTTCGTGCAGATTAAGCAATGGTCGAGGCGTCTGAAGGCCATAATTCTTGAAGCGGGTTGACTCAGGCATAAAGCACGCCTTTCGTTCGTGCCAGCCCCTCTTGAATCCCATAATTTGTCGGTCGGCCGTCCTGACAGAAGTGGGCCCAAATGCCGATGAGTATGAAGTTTGTCTCTTAGTTGCCGCGATAACTGTGACGCCGAAATGCCGGTACACATTCGTGAAACTGAATGGACTGCGGCCCGGTAATACACTGCGCTCTATCGCGTAGACAGCCCTACAGGCGAACGGACGGACGACCTGTTGGGTCGCCTCGGCCACGGTATGAGATGCACCCTCCAACCCGCTCGTCTTCTCTCTTTTTGCTAGGTCCAGGTGAATTTTAGGGGTCAACTTGCCTTGTCACATGCCAATTTGTTCTGGTCTGGCCGGGTGGTTGAAGGACACGAGACAGCAGAAGAAGAGTCATTTTTGATATAAGTCGGCCTCGAGACGAGAAGAAAAGTCAGCTGGCCGAGGGCGGATAGAGGCGACAGCGCGCTGCTCTACCTACTGATGACACATGGACTGGATGACACAAGCCGAAAAGCTTTGTTGCCTGCCCGTTGAGGGCCAAGAGAAAGGGGCCGAAGACCGAGTGGTTGTGTGAATGTGAACGACTGAAGAGGTTCTTACGGCCAAATTGAAGAGGGTGAAAAGCAGTCTCATGACTGAAATGGACAGATAGATAATTGAGTATTATGAGAGACGAAAAATGAATCAACCCAAGCAGGTCGGAGGAATGAAGGCGGGACGGATAGCAAAAAGGGTAGGCGAGAATAGATGGGCTAAAGGAGCACTCGAGTCGGAGGTCTACAGAAGAGTAAAAGTGGACCAACCCACTGGAAGTCTGACCGATAGATGGTCAGTCGGATGGCTAACTAGCCAACTTATCTATCACATCCGGCCATGTTTCCTCAAAGGTGTACAGAAAGGACAGCGACGAGAGAATGGGGGTGGGGGATTAACAGTCGCAGTCGGTGGTGAAGAGGGGTCCGGACGGATTAAGGACATCCGTCATGAACCTGTTCACATAACACTAGCTAGACAGCTTAGTCATGTCGGGCTAACAGACGAGAGTTGCAAGATTTTATTAAAGTGTTGAAAAAGCTGTTAGTCCCAGTTTGTAACAGCCCCGGATGTAGGGCGGATTTGTCTACAGCTCAGTCTTATTTCTTACATTTCAATCTGCATTTCACATGTCTACTCTGCACAACCTTGTGTGCAGCCATGGCAAGACCCGCAGCCGCAACATCATATAGCCAGATCAGTTTGCACACAAATGCGCGACCAAGATGAATTGACTGTTTTTGCCGTCGGAGTGTTGTCGCATTACTTCTCTGTTTATACTACTCATCACCTGAAGCCGAGAGTCAGCTGATTTCGTTTATGAGACACCGACTGGGGTCCAAATTAAGATCAGCTGGAAGTGCTCTTCAGATGGGAAATTCGCAATGATATAATTGGTGCGAC